CCAGTGATTCTTGTGCTGGCCGCTGTCCACCAATTCCTGCTGCTGGCCGCCGGATCCGTGCTTCACCACCGCGCCCGCTCGTGTGGTGCCGCCGGCCGCCGATTCCGCTTCCAGCCGCCGGCCGTCGTTTGCTGTTGCTGGCCGCCGGATCCCGTGCATCACCACCACGCCCGCTCGTGTGGTGCTGCCGGCCGCCGTTTCCGCCTCAATCCGCTGGCCGCCGATTCCACATCCAAGCTGTTGGCCACCGATTCCACATCCAGACGCCGGCCGCCGTTTCTCCTCTGGATCGAGTCGCTGTGGTCTGCTCCTCTGGATCGATTTGGTCCTAGTTTGGCTGGCCTCCCGTGCTTCGGTTGGTACACGCTGGTCACGGCGTCTCTCGCGCGGCCAGCCAACGACGCCCGCGTCTTCCCTCACGTCTGCCGTGCGATCGCTGCCTGAATCGATCGTGATCGGGGCTTGAGGTGGGCCGCCGCCACCACTGCGTTCGTGATCTGGCTGTTCAATAAAAAAAAAAAGAAGGAAAACCTGATATGATGTTTCGCCCGCGTCTTCGTGGCTGTCCGCACACTTCTGACGGTGTTTCATATATTGATCTCGTCTCGCACATACGCCGTCGCTCGGTGCTTGGTGTTGGTCCATCTGTGATATTGTCATCTACGACGTCTTCAGCAGACTGTGATGGAGGTTATTCGACGACTCCTCTCGCGGTTTCTGCCTGCAGAGGCGGTGCCTGCTCTACACCGACACCTCTCGCGGCTTCCGCGCACGACAGTGACTACTCTCAGTCGACTCTACACACGGCTTCCACGGATGGTGGCGACTGCTCATCATCGGCTTCCACGGGTGTTTTTACTTCGACCTCTTCCGCCGTGTCTCTGTTTGCGCGTGAGATTACGCAGCTGCGATGCCTGCTTGCTGCTTGGGATTCTTCATCGACAGGTTCTGCGGGTTCTGTGACTGACCCTTCTGGCATTGAGAAACCACTGTCTACTCGTTCAGGTACATCCCCATGGATTCTTGATACTGGAGCATCTTTTCATATGACTTACGATTCTTCCACTTTGACCTCCGTTCGACCTGTCGACTCTCATGTTCGTGTTCTTACGGCTGATGGCACTTCACTCCCCGTAGCTAGTCGAGGCACACTTAGCACTTCTTCATTTCATGTTCCCTCTGTCGCTCATGTTCCTCGACTTACCATGCAACTAATATCTGGTGGTCAGATTGTTGACTCTAGTTGTAGGGTCATTCTCGACTTTGATTCGTGTTCCGTTCAGGATCGTCGCATGGGCGCTCTGATTGGTGCTGGCCCTCGATGCCCTGATGGTCTCTGGAAGCTTGACTGGCTTCGCCTTCCGTCTGCTGCCACCGCCGCCAGTATCGCAACCCCTGTTGCTGCATCTACCAGCTCTTTTCAGCAGTGACATCATCGTCTTGGCCATTTATGTGGTTCTCGTCTCTCGTCTTTGGTTCATCGCGGTGTTTTGGGTTCTGTCTCTGGTAACGCTTCGTTGGATTGTCTGGGTTGTCGGCTTGGTAAGTAGATTCAGCTACCTTATCCTCACAGCGAGTCAGTGTCCGAGCGCCCTTTTGATCTCGTTCACTCTGATGTTTGGGGTCCAGCTCCCTTCGCTTCGAAAGGGGGTCATCGCTACTATATTATCTTTATAGATGATTTTTCTCGGTACACTTGGATCTATTTCATGTCTTCTCGTAGTGAGGTCTTATCCATATATAAAAAATTTGCTGCCATGGTTCATACCCAGTTTTCCAGTCCTATTCGTGTATTTCGCGCAGATTCAGCTGGTGAGTATATCTCCCATGCATTGCGAGGATTCCTTGCGGAGCAAGGTACTCTTACTCAGTTCTCTTGCCCTGGTGCTCATGCTCAGAATGGTGTGGCTGAGCGCAAGCATCGTCACCTTCTTGAGACGGCGCGTGCAATGATGATCGCCGCCTCTCTTCCGCCTCACTTCTGGGCTGAGGCTGTTACCACTTCCACATATCTCATCAACATTCAGCCATCTGCTGCTCTACAGGGTGGTATTCCTCTCGAGCGTCTTTCTGGTCGTTCTCCTGATTATTCGGCGCTTCGTTTGTTTGGTTGCGTTTGCTATGTTTTGCTTGCCCCTCGTGAACGCACCAAACTGACCGCTCAGTCTGTTGAGTGTGCCTTTCTCGGATACAGTGATGAGCATAAGGGCTATCGGTGTTGGGATCATGTCGGTCGTCGGATGCGTATTTCCCGGGATGTGACCTTTGATGAGTCTCGTCCTTTCTACCCGCGTCCATCCTCCTCGACCTTTTCCACGGAGGACATCTCTTTTCTTACTTTTCCCGATACACCTCCCTCTGTGCCCAGTATTCCTACTCCTCGTCCCGCTGTTGCAGATTCGACGCCGTCCTCTCCAACGATTTCTTCTCCTCCCTCATCACATGATTCTCCACATTCATCATCAATATCATCACCTTCTCCACCTTCATCACCGATACCTTCCCCTTCTCCACCTTCATCGATACATTCCCCATCTTCGTCTCCAGTCATTCCACCTCTTCCCTCCTTTCCTTTTCATTATACTCGTCGTCCACGTATTGTGGATGAGTCTACTGATGTGCCCTCTACTTCTAGTGTGTCATCTTCCTCCTCTCAGCCGACTTATGGTCTTCGTTCTCGGCCTTGTCCGCCCCCTGACCGATATTCTCCTTCTCGCTATGGTCTTTCGACCGTTCTTGAGCCGACTTCTTATCGAGATGCTATTGTGCATCCTGAATGGCAGTTTGCGATGGCAGAAGAGATTGCTGCTCTTGAGCGCACCGACACGTGGGATCTGGTTTCTCTTCCTCCCGGTGTTCGTCCCATCACTTGTAAGTGGGTCTATAAGATAAAGACTCGCTCTGATGGTTCTCTTGAGCGTTATAAAGCTCGTCTTGTGGCTGGTGGCTTTCAGCAAGAGCATGGTCGCGATTACGATGAGACTTTTGCTCCCGTGGCCCATATGACCACTGTCCGTACACTTCTCGCTGTGGCCTCTGTTCGCCATTGGTCTATGTCTCAGCTTGATGTGAAGAATGCCTTTCTAAACGGCGAGTTGCGTGAGGAGGTTTATATGCAGCCACCACCTGGGTATTCTGTTCCTGATGGCATGGTTTGTCGTCTTCGTCGCTCTCTTTATGGCCTTAAGCAAGCCCCCCGTGCCTGGTTTGAGCGCTTCGCCTCTGTGGTGACCGCCGCTGGTTTTTTGCCCAGTGCTCATGATCCAGCGTTGTTTGTCCACCTTTCTGCTCGTGGTAGGACTCTTCTTCTTCTATATGTTGATGACATGATCATCATTGGCGACGATTCTGAGTACATTGCCTTTGTCAAGGCCCGCCTCAGTGAGCAGTTCCTAATGTCTGATCTTGGTCCTCTTCGTTACTTTCTTGGGACCGAGGTTTCATCCACCCCTGATGGCTTTTTTATTTCCCCAGAAAAGTATATCCAGGATCTTCTTACTCGTGCGGCTCTTAGTGATGAGCGCACTGTTGAGACTCCTATGGAGCTCAATCTTCACCTTCGTGCCTCAGATGGTGAGCCATTGTCTGATCCGACACGTTATCGTCATCTTGTTGGGAGTCTTGTCTATCTTGCTGTCACACGTCCGGATATCTCCTATCCTGTCCATATTCTGAGTCAGTTTGTTTCTGCTCCCACTTCAATTCACTATAGTCACCTTCTTCGTGTTCTACGATATCTTCGTGGCACCATCTCTCGTCGTCTCTTTTTCCCCCGTTCCAGCTCGTTACAGCTCCGGGCCTATTCAGATGCTACGTGGGCCAGTGATCCTTCGGACCGCCGTTCACTTTCTGCTTACTGTGTTTTTCTTGGTGGTTCTCTCATTGCCTGGAAGACGAAGAAACAGACTGCAGTTTCTCGTTCGAGTGCAGAGGCTGAGTTGCGAGCTATGGCTCTTCTGACGACAGAGGTGACTTGGTTACGATGGTTATTGGAGGATTTTGGTGTTTCTGTTACTACACCTACCACCCTCTTGTCAGACAGTACATGTGCTATCAGTATTGCACGGGACCCGGTGAAGCATGAGCTTACCAAGCATATTGGTGTTGATGCTTTTTTTTTGCGCGCTGCTGTGCAGGATCATGTTATTGGTCTTCAGTATGTGCCTTCCAAGTTACAGCTAGCAGACTTCTTCACGAAGGCACAGACTAGAGCGCAGCATGGATTTCACCTCTCCAAACTCAGTGTTGTTGATATACCATGAGTTTGAGGGGGGGAGGGGGTGTTAGAGTTATATTGATGATGGCCTTTGGCCTTTTGTATTCTAGCCTCTTGGCATTCTCTTGTACATGTATATATGATGGCTTTGGCCTCCTAATAAGATCAAGTTGCATATTTCCGTAACAACATCAATCTCACAGTTCTCTTCAGATCGTTAAGTTGTTATTTGAGAACAAGTGATAAGATTTTCTGGAAGATAGACGTCCCAGTGAAGAGCGGCGCAGCAAAGCGCGCTCACATTACTAGTTCATGCTATACCTGAAAGTATTACCGGCCTTAAAAAGACTACTTGCTGCAACAAGATTAAGAAGCTCCCAGCAGGCCAGCACTTATGGCTGACAACTGATCTTGGAGATAATTAATCTTGGCTATATCCTCGAGTCCAACTAGCGTAATTCACTGATACAAAGGAGATTTTCTCTACAACTCAAGGTGATGCACTAGATCTTGGAGATGGAAAAAGGCATTTGTAATTCATCCATGTAAAAGAATTATGAAGATTTAAGATGTAAGCAAATCACCACTAGACTGCCTCCATTAATTCATCAGGAAAAGAAAGGCATGCCTCCATTAAAATAGACTGAACCTTTAGGCAAAATCTGTGCACTCGTAACAGTTGTGTGCAAGACACAATGGCAGTAGTAGCTTAGGAAACTCACTCGTATTTGAGGCTTGAATCGTGTTGTTGCCTCCTGTGCCTATGGATGCATGGGTGTAAAGTTTATAACATTGCCCTGCACTTCCATCTTGCGCTTTTCAACGTAGGATCCTCATCTGCTTCATCAGCTTGCGGTGATGAGGCAGCATATGTCCAGTTACAATGCTGCCCTCGCAAGACAACGCCAACATCTCCCCAGTAATCAGCATTGCTGGCGTACCACTCCACCGTCTTCCTCAGTCCCTCCTCCCACGTTGTGCGCTCCGACCACCCCAGCCTCCTCATCTTCTCACCGTCCACAAAGTACCTTTGGTCATTGAACGGCCTGTCCTCCACGAACTTGATGGCCTTCTCAGGGTCCACCCCAAGAATCTCACATATGTCCCTGGCCACATCCACCACTCCCCTCTCCTTAGCCGCGGCGATGTTATACACATGCCCAACCTCTCCTCTGTGAAGAACAACATCAAAGGCTTCTGCGACATCCTCACAGTACAAGTAGCTCCTGGCATTCGAGCCATTCCCATAAACCGGGAGTGGCAGGCCTCTCATTGCCAGGAGAGCAAATTTGGGGATGAGCTTCTCGGGGAACTGGTTTGGCCCATACACATTGTTACCTCGTGTGGTGATCACCGGAAGATTATAGGACCTTGCGTAGGCCATCACCAGCATCTCTGCCCCGGCTTTCGTAGCCGAATACGGGTTCGTCGGAAGCAGCCGAGATTCCTCATGGTTACCAACAACAGCATTGACATCAGTTTCTCCGTAGACTTCATCGGTGCTGACATGAATGAACCTTCTGATCTTAACCTGCTTGCATGCCTCGAGGAGGATGTGGGTACCGTACACATTGTTTTTGGTGAACTCAAAGGAACTGCTGAAGGAGTTGTCGACGTGAGTCTGGGCAGCAAAGTGCATGACGGTATCGATCGACTCGGTGACCAGGAGGTGGTTCACCAAGTCGGCACTGGTGATGTCGCCCCTGACAAACTTGAAATTCGGGGATCCACGAGAAGGGTCGAGGTTTCTAAGGCTGGAGCAATAGTCGACCCTGTCGAGAATGACGATGTTGTAGCGCGGGTAATTCCTGACCAGACGGTTTGCCACGTGGGACGCGATGAAACCCGCGGCACCGGTTATGAGGATGTTCTTGGGCTCATAGGTTGCCATCTGGAGTGGCTTGATATACCTACAAAATCAAATAATTAGTGCTTGTTACATAGTACTCGCATGTACGATGATGCAGAATGACTGAATTATTGCCACAACCACAAGCGTGTGAGACCAAGGCTGTTAACTGCTTAACGGGGGGAACAAGAGACATTTGTGGAGCTAATAATTGAATAAATTAAGTAGCTCAACCTATTTCCTACCATCAAACACCCTTTGCAAACACAGACATTAGTATTAAATTGCAATTCTATTTCAAATTAAAATTCGCGAGTAAACTCATTTCTATTTCAAGTTGGTCTCACTTGTTTGAAAATGCAGGTCTGGGCCCCAATCTTCCATGAGTAGTGATTCACCAGAAGTCGTATGGCGCCCAGAACTGTTATGACCCGGCGGCTTAGTGGGCGGCCGCTACGGCGTGGGGATTGGCTTGGGTCCTCTCCACTGGAGCACCTCCATTACCAATCTGTTGTTGCAGTGGCAGCTACCAACATCCGGCGTTCTATACTAGGAGTATTTGCCATTGATTTTGACTCGCGCGCCACTGCATACGTCATGTTCGACGGAATGCCCGTGGGGCTCTTGCGCTCGGTGAGAGCGAAATGAAGCCGGAGGCATCGAGCTCTACAGCAGGAGCGGCGGCTAGGGACGGACAGGACAAGCGCGTCGACACGACGGCAGAGCCCGGAGCTTGAAGAGGGCCAAAAGCTGGCCATGCCGCTGATGTCGACCGGCGAAGTGTGCCGGCGCGCGGCAGAGCAATAATAGGATTCGGACCTGTACAAATCAGTTTACTCTAACGACAGCGACATGATACAGCACGCAAACAGAGTCTCCGGTGACGTCAAAGTCAAACCCAGTGCAATATCCTCAGATCTAGCACAAACAAAATGGAGGATGGAAGGGAACGGGGACGGGGGCTCACCGAGGAGATTGACGGCGGCGGCGGCGGCGCGGAGACGAACTCAACCAATCCTGGTGCTGGTGGTGGTAGGGTAGGTAAGGAAGCTGAGGTGGTGGTGCACGTGCTTTATTTGTGGTTGCTGATTTTCTTCAAAAATAAATATGGACTGCATACGGACTGACATGAGTGAGCAAACACGCTAAATAATTTAATTTTTATAAAAAAAATCTAGAACATTTTATAATTCTGAACGGAGGGAGTATGTTAGCGTTGGTGACGCGGCCGCCCCCTCCTAATGGGCTCTGCCGTGGAAAATTGGAGGTGGAGCGAGCTTCGCGATGCACCAGAGGTGATCTAGGTGGAGAAAGAACGAGAGATGAGGCTATGGGCGCTCGACATGCTCGAGCTTGGCCTGGAGACATGGTGGTGGCCAATTCGAGTGGGTAGCTCAACAACTGAATTGAAGGTCGAGACAAACATGTTCAATGTCCTATGCCGCAACAATGGCGGGTGACTAGAACGTTAAAATTGCAAGTACCGACCATGCCATGTAACACTTGGTCATAGCCTCGTGCTACTAAGTGCTTGATGAAGTTTTCACACTCCATTCTACCGACCATCAGCAAGAAACAAAGGGGAGGGAAAAAGGAAATGGATGATCTCACTTTATGGAGGGAATGAGCTTGATGAGGTTTTGGATGCCTTGCACTTCTTCCCTTGCCCTAACGGATGGCTAGGTGAATGTTTTGGGGTAAAACTTGTGCACCAAGTACTAGGTAAAAGGGGCTCTTGTCAGGGTGCCAACATTCCAGGCCTAATTCTCTTGAACATCCCCTACCACTCCGGTGAACGGCGACTTCCTCATCCACTTTCCTTGACGGAAGATCCAACTGATGGGGATCGTAGCAGAAATTTAAAATTTTCTACGCATCACCAAGATCAATCTATGGAGTAATCTAGCAACGAGGGGAAGGAGAATGCATCTACATACCCTTGTAGATCGCTAAGCGGAAGCGTTCAAGTGAACAGGGTTGATGGAGTCGTACTCGTCGTGATCCAAATCACCGATGATCCTAGTGCCGAACGGACGGCACCTCCGCGTTCAACACACGTATGGTTGGGAGACGTCTCCTCCTTCTTGATCCAGCAAGGTGAGAGGAGAAGTTGAGGGAAAACTCCGACAACACGACGGCGTGGTGGTGATGGAGCTCATGGTTCTCCGGCAGGGCTTCGCCAAGCACTACGGAGGAGGATGAGGTGTTGGAGGAGGAAGAGGGCTGCGCCAGGGGAAGGGTGCGGCTGCCCTCTCTCTCCCTCACTATATATAGGGGGAAGGGAGGAGGGGGAGGCGCCCTAGGGTTCCCTAGGGGAGGGGCGGCGGCCACAGGGGAAACCCTAGATGGGTTTGGGCGCCCCCACCCCCTAGGAAACTTGCCCCCCAAGCCGGGAGGGGCGGCTGCCCTAGGGGTGGCGCCCCCACCTCTCCTGGTTACGTGAGATGGGATGAGAGGGGCGCTCAGCCCCTTAGTGGGCTGATGTGCCCTCTCCCCTTGGCCCATAAGGCCCCCCGACGCTTGCCGGGGCCTCCGAAACCCCTTTCGGACATGCTGGTCATCACCTGGTACCCCCGGAACAATTCCGGACTCCAATGCCCTTCGTCCAATATACCGATCTTCACCTTTGCACCATTCCGGAGCTCCATGTCATGTCTGGGATCTCATCCGGGACTCCTAACAACCTTCGGTAACCACATACTATTTCCCATAACAACTCTAGCGTCACCGAACCTTAAGTGTGTAGACCCTACGGGTTCGGGAACCATGCAGACATGACCGAGACAACTCTCCGGCCAATAACCAATAGCGGGATCTGGATACCCATGTTGGCTCCCACATGTTCCACAATGATCTCATCGGATGAACCACGATGTCGAGGATTCAATCAATCCCGTATACAATTCCCTTTGTCCAGCGGTATTGTACTTGCCCGAGATTCGATCGTCGGCATCCGATACCTTGTTCAATCTTGTTACGGGCAAGTCTCTTTACTCGTTCCGTAACACATCATCCCATGATCAACTCCTTGGTCACATTGTGCACATTATGATGATGTCCTACCGAGTGGGCCCAGAGATACCTCTCCGTTTACACGGAGTGACAATCCCAGTCTCGATTCGTGCCAACCCAACAGACACTTTCGGAGATACCTGTAGTGTACCTTTATAGCCACCCAGTTACGTTGAGACGTTTGGCACACCCAAAGCACTCCTACGGTATCCGGGAGTTGCACAATCTCATGGTCTAAGGAAATGATACTTGACATTAGAAAAGCTTTAGCAAACAAACTACACGATCTTGTGCTAGGCTTAGGATTGGGTCTTGTCCATCAGATCATTCTCCTAATGATGTGATCCCGTTATCAACAACATCCAATGTCCATGGTCAGGAAACCGTAACCATCTTATTGATCAACGAGCTAGTCAACTAGAGGCTTACTAGGGACATGGTGTTGTCTATGTATCCACACATGTAGCTGAGTTTCCTATCAATACAATTCTAGCATGGATAATAAACGATTATCATGAACAATGAAATATAATATAATAATAACTAATTTATTATTGCCTTTAGGGCATATTTCCAATAGTCCCCACTTGCACTAGAGTCAATAATCTAGTTCACATCGCCATGTGATTAACACTCACAGATCACATCGCCATGTGACCAACATCCAAAGAGTTTACTAGACTCAATAATCTAGTTCACATCGCTATGTGATAAACACTCAAAGAGTTCTGGGTTTGATCATGTTGTGCTTGTGAGAGAGGTTGTAGTCAACGGGTCTTGCCATATTCAGATCCCTATGTATTTCGCAAAACTTTATATCGTAGATGCTGCTACCACGTTCCACTTGGAGCTATTCCAAATTGTTGCTCCATTATACGTATCAGGTATCTCTACTCAGAGCTATCCGGACAGGTGTTAAGCTTTCATCGACATAACTCTTTACGTCGAACTCTTTATCACCTCCATAACCGAGAAACATTTCCTTATTCCTCTAAGGATAATTTTGACTGCTATCTGGTGATCCAGTCCTAGATCACCTTTGTACCCTCTTGCCAGACATGTGGCAAGGCACACATCAGGTGCGGTACTCAGCATGGCATACCGTATAGAGCCTATGACAAGAGCATAGGGGACGACCTTCGTCCTTCCTCTTTCTTCTGCCGTGGTCAAGCTTTGAGTCTTACTCAACTTCACACCTTACAACTCAGGTAAGAACCCCTTCTTTGACTGATCTATTTTGAACTCCTTCAAAAACATGTCAAGGTGTGCGTTCTTTGAAAGTATCATCAGGCGTCTTGATCTATCTCTATAGATCTTGATGCCCAATTTTTAAGCAGCTTTATCCAGGTCTTCCTTTGAAAAACACTCTTCAAACAACCGTTTATGCTTTCCAGAAATTCTACATTATTTCGAATCAGCAATATGTCATCCACATATACTTATCAGAAATGTTGTAGTGCTCCCACTCACTTTCTTGTAAATACAAGTTTCTAGCAAACATTGTATAAACCTAAAAGCTTTGATCACTCCATCAAAACATATATTCCGATTCCGAGATGCTTGCTCTAGTCCATAGAAGGATTGCTGGAGCCAGCATACCTTTTAGCATCCTTAGGATCGTCAAAACCTTTTATTGTATCACATACAACTTTTCTTATGAAAACTGGTAAGAAAACTTGTTTTGACATCCATCTGTAAGATTTCATAATCAAAAAATACAGCTAATGCTAACATGATTCCGACGGACTTAAGCATCGCTACGGGTGAGAAATTCTCATCGTAGTCAACTCCTTGAACTTGTGAAAAGACCCTTTCCCACAAGTCGAGCTTCATAGACGGTAACATTACCGCCCATGTTCGTCTTCTTCTTAAAGACCCATTTATCTCAATGGCTTGCCGATCATCGGGCAAGTCCACCAAAGTCCATACTTTGTTCTGATATATGGATCCTATCTCGGATTTCATGGCTTCTAACCATTTATCAGAATACGGGCCCACCATCGCTTCTCCATAGCTCGTAGGTTCATTGT